TAGAGAGTGTTTTTTTACAGTAGGCCACATACCAGAATTAAATTCCTCTATTAGTTCTTTATAACGTTTTGTTTCATTAAAAAAAAAATGCACCATGCATTTTTGTCAAATCTTTTGTGTGTGTAATGTAAAGTACTAGTCCAAAAATATATCCAAAATTCATAAAGATTGAACCAATCACTCTTACAAATTTAGCCAATACACATCCATACCCCTATAAACAAGTCAAGAGATGTTCCGAAAACTGTAAATATCACCTCTTTGCACTTGGCCTAATCACTCTTTCAAATCAGTTTAAATACAACATCCAAAAGTTTATTTCACCTCTCTTCTTTCATTTCCACCAAAAAAAAAAACAACTAAGAAATGAGTGAGGAAGGGAAAGAAAAAAAAATTAAGAAAAAATACTCTCAATTAAAAGGAACTATATTCGTGGACAACGAAAAGCGGGGTCATTAATTGTGGTCTTGAGCCTATTAGGGGTCTAAAACTTGAATAATTTTTGAGAAAACTTGGCATGATTTAAGCTTAGTGTATTATGAAACTGTTTACAAAGTTTCAAAGCCATATGATACCAATTATAAAAAATGTGGCATTTTTTATATCAGAACTTTGGGTGCTGAATTGTGGCGTTGAATTAGAACAATTTCAACTATCAAATTTTGGCTTCTAAAAACCAAAAGATACCAAAACTTGAACCTTTTAATGTCTCGATGTATAAGTTATCACCTATTAAAAGCAACAGATAGCATACTTCATGTATCAGACTTATAAAAAATGGCTAGAAGTTAATTTTATTTGAGCATGTGCCAAAAAATAGAGGTTTTCAAATGAAGTGAGGCCTTATATGAAATGTAATATTTTTCACTTACCACAATTTTCTGAAGTTGTTAAGTTATAAAAAAAACCTTTGACATGTTATAAGTGTACTTTTAATGGAAATATAAGTTTCAAATAGCATAACACATGTGGATAAAATGGTCTTCTGCAATGTCAAGCTTAAAAATTAGGTTGTCAATATAGGCCGTTCCCCACATTTGCATATTAAAAAGCATATAATAATATGGGAGATGGAGATATGCTTCTTTTTGCTCAAATCTTTGCTTAGATATGATATAACATGGAGCTTTGATGTAACAACACTGTCGCTTCCAACTATAAATGTAGACAGTATGGTCTGATGCAAATTTATTTACTGTACTTTTTAAAACCGGCATGAAATTTCAGCCTCAAAAGGCCAATATTTTAACCACTAGCAAACAAAAGAAAATAAAGGTAGTCTGTGAAACAGACAAGGCCAAACAACCAGTAATAAGTGCTTTTGATACAGATTCAGGGAAATCTGCTAAAAGGAATTCAACTTGTATGTGCATAGAACCTCATTTTTCACTTGCTTCATACTGACCGTTAGACTAAGACCATTAAAGCAGCACATTTTGCACTCTTATTCTGATTTTATCTACGTTTTTTTGTGTTCAGTGTTCAAAAATGAGTTAAACATCTACATTAGATACCACAAACACAAATAGAAAATCAGAAAAATCTGTCAGAGAGAAAGTAAGCATGCTACTTTTGTAAAAATATTGAAACAACTGAAAAATTTCAATTTTTGGCATTTAGGCTGAAATGTCACTTTTTTACAAAATTTCTATCAAATAAAAGTGGAAATCATTTATTCTCATGTAGTTTGACAAATTAATACCAATAGATCATTCAGGGAAGTTGTCAAAGTACAAATTCAATATTTCCTGAATTCAAATCTTAGGCCACAGACCACAATTAAATTCCTCTATTAGTTCTTTGTAACGTTTTGTTTCATTAAAACAATGCACCATGCATTTTTGTCAAATCTTTTGTGTGTGTAATGTATAGTACTAGTCCAAAAATATATCCAAAATTCAGAAAGATTGAACCAATCACTCTTACAAATTTAGCCAATACACATCCATACCCCTATGGACAAGTCAAGAGATGTTCCGAAAACTGTAAATATCACCTCTTTGTACTTGGCCTAATCACTCTTTCCATATCAAAATCATTTAAAATACAACATCCAAAAGTTTATTTCACCTCTCTTCTTTCATTTCCACCCCCAAAAAAGCTAAGAAATGAGTGAGGAAGTGAAAAAAAAATTAAAGATTAAATTAAGAAAAAATACACACTAATTAAAAGGAACTATATTCGTGGACAACGAAAAGCGGGGTCATTAAATGTGGTCTTCAGCCAGTAATGTCCACTCAAAATTTCAATCGACCAGTATTTGCCAGTATTTCCCGGTATTTCCCGGTATTTACCACCGACATGGTCATTACTAGTAATGTCCACTTTTTAGCCAACCTTGTGTTGAACCCTACCATATTTCCAGTGGTCTGGTAAGGGTAACATCAAATTTCAGTTGACTTAAAATTCAGTCGTTGTGTGCAATTTTAATGATATTAACATATATCATTGGTATTTAAACCAAGATTGTGGTATTTTAAAGAATATAGATGCCTGAAGCTCGCCTATTTCATAGTGTAAAAAAAGCATTTTTGGAGGGGAAAATAAAATAGTCCGTTGCCATAGCAACCGCGGTCCATAGCAACCTTATGATTATTATTTTTTTATTTATTCATCAAAGTGTGATAAATGACAAAGTTTGAAGCTTTTCTGAGACTATGCGTGCCACACCCTATATCTGACATGGTTGGTATTTACAGAGAATCCATGTTAAGTTCAAGTGACCAACAATGAGACTATGAAATATATAGTAAGTGAAAATGGCGTTAGACACCAACAATCAATCCATGACACAAAATCAGTACATGCACAGCCAAAAACAACAAAAGGAAAGTCCTTTAGCACGAAAAAAAAACAAAAAACAAAAAACAAAAAAAAACAAACAAACAAATTTCTCTCGCCGGTTCCTTTAAGATTCTTTATCCTTCACTAACAAAACGTTGAAGCACTGGCAATATCGAATGCGTATGTGAAATTATGGATACTAATATATGTAGGTACATTGTAATGAATTTCAAATATAAACCAACCTTTAATTTAATCAAATAGTGAATATTATATAATATAGCTTTAAAGAACACAAATACATTTCCAAGAATACAAAGATATATATGCTCTGTTTATGTAGTTCATACGTGTTTCTCGTTTCTCGTTTTTATATAGATTAGACCGTTGGTTTTTCCGTTTGAATGGTTTTACACTAGTAATTTATTGAGGCCCTTTATAGCTTGCTGTTCGATGTGAGCCAATGCTCCGTGTTGAAGGCCGTACCTTGATGTATAATGGTTTACTTTTATAAATTGTAACTTGGATGGAGAGTTGTCTCATTGGCACTCATACCACATCTTCCTTTATCTATTTGATACCACAGATGAAGATTCTAGTGAAATGACATGATTATCAAAATTAATCCAAAGAAACAAAGAATTAGTCGTCAATGCAACAGCATTATAGATAATAAGCACATTTAAGACAGATCTTTGGGTATCTTAACGACTGCTGTGGAATTTATTTCTACACCCTTTTTTTATAATTCAAAGAAAATCCAAGTTAAGATTAAAGAACAAATAATAAGCAATCTTTAATTTACGGAAGGTTTCTTCGAAAAACTTCAATTTGAGCTTTGCATTAGAAGAATTGATAGATAACTATGTATTAAAAGGATTAATATATACTTATAAAAGGATATAAGCACAGAAAAAGGTCATCGACAGTGTGATCGTTTTACTATCCAGTTCAAGATGGAATTGAACTTTTTTTTATAAGCTACAAAAGCTTTTATGGTTGGCGTTTGTGTTGATTTCCTACGTAACGATCTGATGAGATACGATATGCTTTCCAAAGAAACTTTCCATTAAATACAAAGGACAAAGGTATGAACAGGTATTGGTCACCGCAAGGTATTTAACAATGGAAAAAATATAAGACAAAGAGAAACCAAATAGCCTGGTTTATATTACAACAATATACGATCAACGTTTGCCTATTTAGTGTAGAAAATGTTAATTTGATTAAAATTATTTGTTATTTAGATACATACATCTTACTTAAGATTATCTATTTATATTACATATCTTTAATTGATCTGTATATATCTTTTGATTTCAACGCCACACACATACTACACTGTTATAACAACAAATTTCAATGAAAGATATATACTAATTAATGAGTTTTTTATATAAATAAAAATTTTCTTATAACATAATGGCACCGTCCTCTGGTGTCCAAATATCCTACGCTGCTACCTTTTATGCGAATAATACTTGCAGAAAGAAATAAGTATCGAGAATGGATAAACGTTGTAGTCACTGGGATACAGGAATGAAAACTGTTTCTGCATTTAAGGTCACCAAAGGTCAAATTACCTGTGATATATATTTTCATTTAATTATAAACCGTCAATTCGTCAGTCTCTTCTTAAATATAGGGATGCAACCCTACCACCATTAGACTTGGTTGCTACTAAAAATTATATTCAATGGAAAATTGATTTTTTAAGGAACGAATTTGCTAATTTTGTTTTAGAACTACGCGTTGATCAAGTTAAAGGAGGCATAGTTAAGATTGCACATGTTGTTCTCGCCTTTGTTTATCTCCTCATAAATTCTGTCTGTGAATTGTTTCGACCTGAGTCCTTTAATACTTTTGTCGTTAAGCATCAACATATATACATGTAATAAAATGATACAAAATATAAAGCGACGTTTAGATAGAGCAACGACTATCAAAGTAATCGAATTGTCGATCATGCAATATATATTTACAACCATTTACATACTTATTTTTTAACAGAAAGCCTTATTTTTGTTTAATTTACAATTTAAATCAAATAAAACATGTCCAAACGGTAAACGAGAGAGAGAGAGAGAGAGAGAGAGAGAGAGAGAGAGAGAGAGAGAGAGAATTTACGTCAAATCGAACACAAGTATCACGAATGCTTCCATCAATTGCTAGACCATCACATTAAATTTACTTACATTCAAATAATACATAGAAAATAACATTTTAAAACGATTTTATTCTAAACTAATAAACCGTCGTTGTTTCTTCAAACTACAAAAAATCTTGATAAATCAATGTATATGTCGTGGTATCCGCTACATAGTTCTTAAGCCGTTCCATTGTTTTTAAAGTTAAAAGATATGTAAGTTAGGCCATCACAGTTCCCGATTTCACGCAATTGTTACGATGCGTCCTTTCCGAAGCTTTGCAATGCAGTCGGAAGTCGATATCCAGATCTGAAATTTACCAGCTCATAGAAATAGTATAATATTGTACATATTGTTTTTTCATGAAACTGTTTCGCTGAAGGTGGGTTCGAACAAGGCTGTCAAGCATATTAAGCGATCAAACCGACTGAAATCAGTGTTTCTTAGTTACAGGCTTTTCATCCCTATTATTAGACTTTTAACTCCTATAAATAAAAGGAACGACTTTCATTCTCAAACCTAGCGAATGTCGTTAAGGTTGGGAAGTAACATGTACAACTGTTTCTTCCTGATTATTATTCTTTAAGCACCTAAACGTTTTTTTACATTCTTTAATAAAGTCCCGACGTTTCCAAGCATAAATAAATGGATTTATTATACTGTTTAAAAGGCCAAGAAACACCAACCAATTCATCACAGTTAATTCTGTTATCGTCGTTTGATCAATTCCGATACCTTTCCTGAATGGAAACGACGTGAATGGTAGCCAACAAAACGAAAATGCCAACGTAACGATACCTGTAACTTTTGCACTCCGTACATCACGATCCATGTTCTTAGATTTCGCTGTTTGCTGATTGTTCACGGAACCGCCACTCACTGGTGCAACTCTAGAATAAAACCGCCATGCCGCTTTCAGTATCAAAATATACATTACAAAGGTTATCATGCTAAAACTATACACAATGAGAGATGATGCCAAGTAGAAACCCCTATGAAATAAAAATAAGTATTCACATGGAAAACCAGGGCTCCAAACGTGCAAACCCCAGAACGGGAGAGCAACAAAAAATAAGCAGAATATCCATGGAAACAGAGACAAAATGATTGTTGCGTTTGTTGTCAGGATTTTTGCGTAGTGATGCGGATGACAAATTGCTATGTATCTGTCTAGCGCTGTGAACAAGACTGTCAATTGGGATACCAGTGTCGTGTAACTGATTAGCAGGTAACGTAGAAAACAAACTGTCATGTTATTTGCGATACTTGGATACATAAAATAAAATACTTGTATTCCTGCTACTATTCCAGTTAACATGTCAGCAATTGCTAAATTTACCACAAACTTGTTTGTATTGGTTTTAAGTTTAAGTTTACTGATGAATATAAATATAACAAGACTGTTGCCAAGAAGAGCAGTAATAAATACTAGTTGTTGTAAAACTATAAAAACTATTAAAATAACAGGAAAACCACTGCTCTGGTCCAGGGTAGAGTTAGTCATGGTAACCAGAGTCATTCATCGAAAATGCGATCTTAAATTTCCGAATAGTCAGCAATACTACGAATGCACAGGGCCATCAATGAAATTTTAATTGCTGGAAGCTGTTCAGACTTTCACTTATTAGCATTTCGAATGATTTCAACTGTTACCAACAGCCGTCGGAATGAACAAAGATCGGAATCTGTTATCTGCGTTATAAATATCTACAATAAAAAAATAACTACAATATAAATATATGTATACTCTAGCGAAGTAAAAGAAATATAAGAATACTAAGGTTGCAACTCCAATAGGCAAGAAGTAAAATAACAAAAATACCGAACTCCGAGGAAAATTCAAAACAGAAAGTCTCTAATCAAAAGGCAAAATCAAAAGCCCAAACACATCAAATGAATGGATTACCCCTGTCATACTCCTGACTTTGTACAGGTATTATCTTATGTAGAAAACGGTGGATTAAACCTGGTTTTATAGGTAGCTAAACCTCTCACTTGTGTGACATTCGCATAAAATTCCATTATATTGAGAACAATATGTGAACAAATCAAACAGACATAATAGGTAAAAATGTCAAAAATAGGGGTTATAAACTGAAACACTATAAAAACAAACAAATATGTCCACAAAGAAAAACAAAAAGGCATATAGACAATTAAAGCACATAAGTAAAACGAAAGACAAGAATACAAAAACTTACCATAGTACAATATATGACGGGATGTATAAGTACCGAGCCACGTCAAATGAATATTACCAAAAATAGACTAAACAGTTAAAGTAATAATTTACAAAGACAAAGACAAAAACAAAGATGATTTTGGCTGTTCCGTTCATAATCATTTTCGATTGTATTTTTGTACACGCTCTATGTATTGTTTTTAAATAGAGAGTCTGTATCACAAGGCAAGTTATGATATAAATATTAAAATTATACCTCAGTTTTACACTATAATAAAACATCATCGTTAGGCAATACTCAATTTCAATAACTGCGGACAAATTTTGCTGTTCATTTTTTTTTTTATTTAAATGATTTTAAATTAATTATCATGTTTTGTATTTTTCAGGGAGTAATGTTTTGTTAAGAAACTGATATACAATGTAACATGTATTAAACTAAGTTACATTCCGGAGAATTACACCCAAGGAGTAAAACAGAAAACAGCACTTCATAAATTGTATGCATTCAAAACGTTTTTCTGGATTTACCCTTCACAGGAACGCTCAAGACAAATATTTGAAAGTTAAGGATGCATCAGTTCAAACCGAAACATGTGAAGAGCGATTTGACCATAAGAGACATAAAAATCATAGCGATATACCGATATACCGATATACTACTGGAGTGCTTGATACCCTCGGCGACAAATAATCCACCATAAACGGTATCTTCCCAGTCCTTAAAAAGTGAAAATATTACTATGTTAATGTCTTTGCAGAAACTTGATCTAGCATTATGAATTTGTGAACAACCCGATTTAAGCATGTCTGTCGAGATATCTCATGGGAGACGACTTTCCAAACAGTTTTCCAGTTTAGACTGCAGAGTCCTTTGTACATCAAAACGTGCGTCTAACGTACACAGCCTGGTATCTATCAATCTACAAACATTCCGATTTAAAAATCAAAATTTTGAGAAATAACGTATCTCATTCGATTCTACGGTAAAATTTATACCGACAGCATTGGTCAACAATTTGTCAAATTAATGAAGAATTAGAATTTAATTGAGTTAACTAATTAAATTTTAGTTTACAGTTTATTGTATTTGATATACATGTATGAACGAACATGATTGGCATAAATACGTGTAAAGAATTATACAAAAAAACCTTCACCATAACCCGAAACCGAAACCAAAGATATTTGAGTGAGTTCAATTTGTATGAATTTTAGTGTTATTATGTTTTTAAGAATTTACTCACTCCATTTATTCATTAATAATTTTCTAATGCTGAAAATATCACATCAATTATTACATGAAACATCAATTCACATGAAGCTATTTAAAAAGTGAAGACTATTATTTCAACCTTTACTGAATACACTAATCAAGCATTAATCATAAAATGTTTCCCGGAAGGGATATCTGCAAATAGTTATACAATTGGTGCAATATTGCTTATGATTTTATAAATTTTCGTTCGTCTAATGGGATTTCTACATTTACTTTTCTTACTCACGTCTTTTCGTTGACAAGTTATGCGTTTAACGTGATTTTCGCATTTTGATGACGTATTCGTCAAGTTCTTGATGTATGTGGTAAACTAATGGGGTATTCAGATAAGTATATGGTGTCAACAATCAAGCGACAACTACTAGAAAATGTTAATGATTCTTCTAGGCGGTTTTATAGCATTTTCTATTGGAGACGCAATCAATAGATCACAAGAAAGACAAAAGATAACAAATGAACATTCAAACTCAAACGTCGAAACAAAATAGACACCCTCATGGATAAAAAAGACCAAAAGACAAACAACAATATACAAAACACAACATAGAACCCATTCAAAACAAAAAAGCAAGTTTTATCATTGCAATTTTAGAAAAAGCTCTTCAACTTCGTATTCTATTTGGTCTTTTTAACTTTTTTTGATTCGAGCGTCACTAATGAGTCTTTTGTAGACGATACGCGTGTCAGGCGCTAATACAAAATTTCAATCCTGGTATCTATGATGAGTTTATTTACATGCAGATATTATTTGATATCAGAAAACGAGCTGTTATTATTGCGATACACAAGTGGTCGCATTAGTCGCATTATTAAAACCCTCCCAATAGTTTCCTACTTTACAGTCATCGAATTAAAATCCTGAAAAAGAATTGGCAAACATTGGTGGATAGCTTTATGAACTAAACCTTTGTTAACATCAAACATGAAAAATAGTTGTTCAAATGTAGGATAACATCTTTACCGTATCAAAGACCTATTGCTGCATTTATTTGTCTTTTCCTCTATAGCGCTGTCGCGAGGATGCAATACACTCCACTAAAACTATCAAGTGCTTCGCCGATATTTCTGAGGAAGCTAAATTCGTGTGCTCTGAATTTATGAAAGGCATCAAATATTTTTTTTTTGTTCCATTACTCCTTTTGTCTCCTTCACTTGTTTTCTGCTCTCGTATTCGGGATGTTGTAATCCTTGGCTTTCGGTTATTTAGTATAAGCGTTCCTGATTGTGGGAGATCTAGAAAATGGCTTCAGACGCTTCATATATATAAAACCCTTAGGCTATTTTTTTTGCTTTGATACGGATTATGGAATTAAGCAGGTAACAATCGGCTTGGAAAGATCTGACTAGATCATATGAAATGACATATAGCCAAAAACAAGTAGTCTGTGCCTTTCCGTGTTCATCGTTTTTGTTCAAACCTTTAAAGTTGCGAAAATGTGTTATGTGGACATCACTACATATATTGAATTTATAATCAGACATTAAAGATACCCTTAATAAAATAAGATATCTACAATTTGGCTTCCTATGTGACAAATATGACGCAATGACTTACAGATTAACGGAAGTCAATAATCAAGAGACAATACCATGTCCTCGTGTTTGTCACTTGCTTGTTGATACAATCTATAATATTAAATAAGATGACCCCATTTTGTGTGTCACTTCTCTTCCTTCCACAATAAATCAATCATCATGCCTCTGTGTCCTATAGGTACCATGCATAGTCGCATTTGCCATCCTCGCTTATGATTATTCCGTTTGGGTTATTTTGGGAGGAAAAACAAAAAAAAATACGTCCGGATATTGTTTCCGTCATCGGACGGACTTTTAAGTCATAGACAAGACTTCCCTGTAGGACTGTTAAAAATTACAACCCTTTATTCCTAACTTGATTAAATATAATATTTTGGGTGCTTGGGCTACAGGAACCGGTATCAAACATTCCTTCCGTCCCTGGAAGCGATAAAATCCGATTTCTTGGGACCCTTGGAACCGGTATATAATCATGTTTTATTTAAGAAATAAGTCATGCAAGCCATAGATTTGTTGACAATTTTCATATGGCCTGGGTCGTTATATTGAAATTTTATCCCGAGCGTAAGCAAGGGATAAAATTAACGAATATAACGACCCAGACCATGTGAAAATGAAAACAAATCTATGGAATGCATGATTTTTTTTGATACTAATATAATAGTAAAGTTTTCCGCTGAAAAGTCGGACACCATTTCAGTAAAATATGACGTTTTTGTGCGCAAATCGCATTGTGACGTCGTCGATTTATAGTGGTTGTGGTTTATTGAGTATTTTATTATGGCTCTATTCATATGACGTAATAAGCACCCAATATTAGAATTAATTTGCTTTCTTAAAAGTCAACACCTTATTAAGTCTGACGCCATTTCCAGATTTCAGTAAAAAAATGACGGTTTTGTGCACAAATGCATTGTTTATTGAGTATTTTATTATGGTTCTATTCATAATTCCAATCTTATTTGCAAATATCACATAATCTGATTTCATTAGTGGAATCCGTTTCGAGTGACTGAAATTGAAAAGGTTAACATATCGATTATTATGTCTTCTGCACAACGAAACAAAAAGCATAGTGACAAGGCAACTCGCCTCCTAAAAATTGTGCGTTCATGTTACAAAAAATAGTTGACCTTTGCGTTAACATTCTTTAGATTTACATCCAATATTTTGAACTGGTGTAAAATTCAAAATGTTATATTAACATCAGTTCATGTTTAAGATACTTTTGATACCTTTCCTGAAATTCTCCAGTCATAAACTCTTTTACAAAAATTCATCCTACAACAGTTTACATACTTTCAAACACGCTCTAAATGCCCGCTACTTCGCGGGTGTGTTGAAGTATATATTTATCTGAATACCTAATTGTTACACAAAATACCTTCAGACAGTTAAAACTACCAAAATTTAATAATCCGCGATCAATACAAACTAAACAACGAAAAGATTCGAGCAAGAAGAGTTAATAAAGAACATCCCAGAGTGATGTCAAATCTTGCAAGAAAAGTTTGAACACAAAATATGTATTGCGACGAAACATGCTTAATGACAAATGTATAAAATAAATAAAGTCATATCGACATCTTTAATTGTATATAACTTGTACTAATGTATTCAACTAAGATTAAATAAATCTTCACTATTTAAAAAGGTTCTAGTGAATTGATGAGTCAAATAATTATATATGGATATAATAT